ATTACAGAAATAGGCAATAACTACAAAACAATGAGGGTTTTATTCCTTTGAAGAGTTCCCCACTTTGTTTTTGTTCCTTTTCTGCACAGAACACTCCTCTGTCCTTGCACTTCGAGCACTCACCATCATTCATGCCTTACCTTCTGCATACAGCCCACATCCTTCCTCACCCCAAAAAGAGTTAAATGCTCTTGCTCCTCCAAAGAACTATTTATATTTCCTGACAATGCCTTTTATGTGATTAACTAGAGAAGCCATGACCAAAAAGAAAGAATAACACATGTAAAACCATGCCAGAGAACAGAGTAGGTAGAAACTTGTTGAGTCTATTACCAGTCAAAATGTTTGAATCCATGTGTGTTCTCATAAATCAACAGCCATATATAGTCCTAACCATAACCATCCCAGAGCTCTTTGGAATAGAGAGAAAACACTGAAGGGAAAAAAAAAGGGTGAAGCTCCTGAAAGGGTGAGAGGAGGAGGCAGCAGATGAGACAAGTGCAACCTGTGGTTATCTCCCAGACATGGAATTTATATTTTATGGATCAGAACAGAGGTGCCACAGCAGTCAGGGCTGAGCAGGGCCTGCCAATCATACCAGCTCCTACCAATCTGGTGGTGACTGGAAGACATTAAGGAACCATTCGAACCTAGTTAAAACTTGGACATTTATGTAGGTTTTGCACTGTAACAAAAATTGAGCCCAGAAGAGCCAGAACTCTTTGCTGCATGATGGGAGACAAAAGGGTTTGCACTGCAGACCATAAAAGATCATTCTGTTTCAATTACACTTGACAGATCTGAGTTATTGTAAGAGGCATAGGTTTGGAGCAGTAACAGTGAACCAGAGAACATAATGTAATTTGAGAAACAGCATGAAAGCCTCATCACATCCTTTTCTTTTGTTAGCTGGGAGTAGAAGATCATCTCTTTTCACCCCTCATCCCTGTTCATCCCCTTAATCTTCCTGTTGAGCTGGTCTGATTGAGATTTAGGGCCCCATTCATCCCAATTAGATGGCTTTTCTGTAAAGCAGCTTCCCAAAGCCATGCTCTGCTTCTGCTGACAGGATTTCACTGCTTTCCAGAGGAGTGGTTGACATGTGAGAGCATACCGCGGTTTGTACAGGTCCCTTCTTCCACAGTGTCCTCCACAGCACACAAACCTTTAGTGGCTCTGTCAAAGCAGTGGCCTTGCCCCAAACAATGACATTTTGCCTGCTGTGCACTCTGGCACTCCACAGTTTGGTTTGCAGCAGTGCAAGCAGAGCTCCCAAACATAGGTGGCTGTTCAGTGGCCTGAGAATCATAGAATCATAGAATTTAAGAGTTGGAATGGGCCTTACAGATCATCTAGTCCCAACCCCCTGCCCTGGGCAGGGACACCTTCTCATTAGATCAGGTTGCTCAAGGCCTCAAGGAACACACACCAGGGAGCAGGACACCCACAGGAACCATCCTCAGCTCTGCCTGCAGGTTTCCTGAGTCCACAAGGGCTTCCATAGGCTGCTGCTGAGGTTTGCCTCACAAGGAGATGGTTTCTTCCTAGCCCTACCCTTCCATCTCACCTCATCTGTTCAGCCACTGAGTCCAGCCCTACCAAGTAAGCATAGTTGTTACAAATTTCATTTGTTTCTTTAGGCAACTATTTTTACTAGCACTGCATCCTCCATCTGAAATCCAATACAATTTGCTTCTGCTTTTGCTTGCAGTCCTTAACACATTGTCAGCACTCTCACTGAAGCAATCACATCAAAAATAAGAGTTGCTTCTTCCAGTTCTGGCATTTACATGTTTTTATGAGATGCTGGAAAAGTATAACTGGATGATTTTTCCACTGAAAATGTTGAGACAATAATAGGTAACAGATTCCCTGAGTTCTGACTTGCCTCGGAACTAGGTGTCTCTAACATGTACCATGTCTCTCAAATACATTACACACTCCAATGCTCCTGTTATCAAGAGCTTAAGCTTTTTACATTCTCCTCTCCCCATCAACATGCAACAAGACCTTCAAGACTTTCCTGACCACCAGTTTAGTTTTTGCACAGTGCTCTCTTCTCAAAGGCACTCAGAGAAGGTGTGAGAACTTTGTGGGCAATCTGTGGCCTAGACAGAGTGACTTGTGCAATGACATGCCAAGGTACTATGAATATTGGGAATGTGACGGTAGTTGCAACTCAATGTTTGGAGCCAAAAAGTAATGCAGGTGCAGGTATGATGTTCTTCTACCCGCAATTCAATGTTCAGGCTATTTGATGACTATGGGAACCTCTGCAGCTCCACCCTCCCTCAGACTTGGCTCACAGCATGGTTGTGCCATTAGAGCTGTGCCAGTGGAACCAAGAAGGATTCCCACCATAAAGCTCTCCTCCACACTTCCAGCAAAACAAGGCAGCATGCTAGGCTCCTGTTCAAAATGAGTTCTTACACCTTCTGGATTCACTTACTTCCACCATTATTGCCTTAGAGCTGGCTTGAATCATGAAAACTTCATTGTTTCTCAGAATTTTCAGAAGGGGAGGGAAGTTTAAAATTATTTCAACAGTTATTATTGCAAAGTAAGCTCAAAGTCATTCTACTATGTCTGGGAGTTCCTCCTAATTTCAGAGCTGTTCAATGTGGGACATGCCTGGTGGGACCCTAGTGAGCTATGGATGACATGTATCTTATCTGATGGGGCAAAGATACAGGAACATAGAATCACAGACTGGTTTGGGTTGGAAGGGACCTTAAAGACCCTCTCGTTCCAAACCCCTGTCATGGAGGGAGGAGGAACCAGGTTGCTCCAAGCCCCAAGAACCATCCAACCTGGCCTTGAAGCACTCCCAGAGATGGGGCAGCCACAGCTCCTCTGGCTGTCCCTGTGCTGCATGCTAGCTGCTACCTTTTTCCTGGTGTTTACAGCTGTAAAGCAAACTCATACCAAAGAGTTTAGGTCCAGTTGAATCCAAGTGCATGAGTCAACAACCCATTGTGATGGCTCTGAGTAGAATGCAGCCGAAAAGCAAAGGAAGAATGAAAATTGAGATTCCTTATCTTTAAAGTGGACTTTTGACCAGGAATATTAATGACTGCATTTTTCTAGGCAGATTTACAGGCCAAATGAATCTCTGGTTTAACCTCTGAACTCCCAGGGTTTCATAAAGGCAGGAATTTGCCTATTAGGGTCATGTTTGTGGTTACTGCCCAGGCACTACAAGATTGAAGTTGTAGTCATTGCAACCCAGCAGAGAAAGAGAAAAACCCATGAGAGGTTGGATAGGGAAATAAGATTTAAGAACACTGCTTGCAGACCATTGGACAACAATTGATACACTAAACAGCATACAGGAAAGGATGAAATCCAGCAAGAAAAAAACATGTCCCTGAAGAATTAGCATGACCAAAATGTGTGGTAGCTGTCTGCTCTCGGGGCAGTTACATTCTGCATTGCCCTCAACCACAATCCCAGTTATCCCTAACTGGTTGGTAAACACCTGACACTCTTCTACCCCTTGTATGAAGAGATTGGCATTGCCTTCTCCTCACCTCAAGGTATTTTTCACCTGTGGCACCTGCTGTAGCTGCTGCAAAGAGAGATGAGCCATGTCCTCCCTAACAGCTCCACCAGCTAGGAGCAGAAGAATTGTACAGAAAACAGAGATTATAAAGTGAAACCCACTTCCAAGTTTCATAATTTGACAGAATTTATACAGCATTGAGATAGACACTCATCACACATACTCAAAGGGTAAATACCACGGAATCCCAGACTGGTTTATGTTCAAGATCATGGAAGTCCAACCCCCTGCCATCTCCAAGAGCTGTGGATGATTTAAAAGTGAAAAAGGAAGTACAAATACCAAATGTATGACTTAACAAACACTGAAAGGTGGTCTTGATACCACATTGGTGGGCAGCAGGCTCCAAACTGGTTCCTCACCCACAGTGCACATTGCCTTTCCTTCCTCCCAGCTGGCATGAAAGTGGCAACAGCCTCAGTATCAGGTGTTGAGAAATTTGTTGCTGTAAACCAGACTTGGAGCAGCATTTGAGACTGCATTCAGCATAAAACTAAGCCATTTTCTGGCCGTTTGTAAAAAGTGAAACATGAGCTAACATGAAATAAATTTAATTTTGTTTAGAGGAAACATTATTGTTCTGTTTGGAAGTAGCATGAGGATTTGTCTGCAGTGTTAGGCTTTTCTTTGGAACAGAAAAAACTTCCTAGTAATACCAAACAAACAGAAAATCTTACGGATATATTCCAACAAGCCACAAAAGGGAAAGAAGTTAGAGGATCTTATTGGTATCAACAGCCTTTGGACTGCAGGGAGAGTTGGGACTAGATGATCTGTAAGGTCCATTCCAACCCTTAAATTCTATGATTCTATGATTATATATGTCTTTTAATCTCTTTCTGAAGGGTCTGCAGCTCCCTGTGTCACCTGTGCTGCCCATGAAACCTGACCACAAAGTCACATATTGCCCCCTCACCAGCTGTTCATGCAAGTCCATTGGGGATTTTTGAGGGCAGAGATCCTTACATGGAAATACAATCTGGAGCTTGTAGATTAAAACCTGACTAAAGTACAATGACTGCTTTAAAAAGCTGGATGTTGCTGGGAGAGAGCAGAGCTATGAAAGAGAATCCCAGACCAGTTTGTGTTGGAAGCACCTTAAAGCTCTTCTCGTTCCACCCCTACTATGGGCAAGGACACCTTCCACTCGCCCAGGTTGCTCCAAGCCCCATCCAGCCTGGCCTGGAACCCTGACAAGTATAAACACGTTAAGCTATGTCTCTCAGCTATGAAGTGATGAGCAGTTCTAAGACATTTCCTGAGAGTTTCCAGTTTTTCATGGGCCATGGGATAACAGACAAGGGTTGGTAACTGTTGTAGTGAATTTACTGGACAAAGAGCCACTGCCATAAGAAGCTTCCCCCCCATCTAACATCTCTGTCAACCAGATGAAAGATTATGAGTTTTAATCTCTTTTCCACCTATGTTTCTTACACAGGCATATCAGAGGGAAGTTTCCTGACTATCCTATGGAGAAAGCAGGAGGTTCAAAGGCTATTTTATCTGAAAAAACTCCAGAGCAGGTATTGCCCCTCCCTTAATAAAAAAAAAAATCAGTGAGATTGGGGAAGGACTTGCCACGAGACATCTGTTTATTTAAGTAGTAATTTTTCATAGTAATGTCTGTAGTATCCCAGGAACCTTGTGGCTAAAATGCTTTTGGCTGCAAGGGAAGGGCTTGGTTGTTCCCAGGGTAAAACACAAAAATCAGGTAGCAAAATCTGTTCCCTTTCATGATGTGCAGCCACTTGGTCATGGCTGAAGGTGCTCAGGTGATGGACGGGGTAGCAGAAAGTGCAGAAAAGGGCTCAGCTACCAAGAGTACTCTCCTGTTGCAAAATCCATGGAGTTCAACTGGTCCAAGCTTCTAACAGAACTCTGTGCTAAAGAGCCTTGAATTAAAATAGGCCTCCAAAGCTACCCCAGAGGCTGAAATTAGTTCTAGAGTGTTTGCATTTGGTATCAGCAGAGCCCAGCAGTAATTAGCTCAGTTTTAAGAAGAGAAGTTGCTTGTGCAGGCAGGCCCAAGCCTTGATTTACTGCCAAGAATCATTAAGTTTAATGTTCAAGTGAAGGAAGTTTCTTAGTTTATCATATATGTTCTTGTAGTGAACTCAGTCATTTTTCCTGGTAAATCCCTCTCCTGATTTCTCTGGCTAATTGAAATAACTGATAATCTCTTCCTCTGATCATCTGGGTGTCACCCAAGGAAAGTGATTAAGCTCAGATGAAGGCAGTGGTCAGCACTCAGAGGCATTTCCACCTACCCCAGTGATCCCAGCAGGATGATAAGTCTGTTGAAGGCAATTGTAAATAGGAAGCCCTGGAGCAGGATTTGGCCCCTGAGTGAACCAGGTGTGGTGGGCTGGAGGAACTAAGAGGTTGAAAACTCAATTCTGCGGTCCTTAAAGCTCCATTATTGACCCAGGCTGTTCCATGATTTGCCTGCAACAGGTCATCCAACAGAGGTATGGTAAAATAGCATTTCCTTGGAATCCCAGACTGGTTTGGATTAGAAGGGACTGAAAGATCATCTAATTACACCCCCCTGCCATGGCCAGGGATACCTTCCACTGGACCAGGTTGCTCAGAGCCACATCCAGCCTGGCCTGGGACACTGCCAGGGATGGGGAATTTGGGATTCAGTCCTCCCTGGAATCACAGGGAGATGCATACCAGAAGTCTCTGTTTGAGGGGATGTAAATACAGGCTAGCCCAGCACAGAACTCTAACCATTAGCTACCTGGCTACAAACAGCTCTATGCATCACTACAACTGAGCTCGGGGCATGCTCCTGCTTTTAGCCAAGCTCAGAGTCTGCTAAGGTCAACCCTGCTGGCCTCTGCATCCAAGCTACTCTGTTGTTCAGTCAGAGTGAAAGAGGCCCTGGGTTAAGTTTTCAGCTCCTAAAGTAGAAACACATGCCAGAGTCAAGAAGGCTTTGTTGACTGCTCTGAGCAGCCAGCACCCACCCAGCCAGCATGGCTTCTTGCTGAAGGAGGCCTTAGGGAGTGTGGTGCTAATCAGACCTGCTACCAACAAGGGATAAAATAACTCAGAGAGAAAACATTACAGAAATTGTACTGAGCGACACAGATATGGAGGTAGATTCTGGAGAAATAGGTGTAATCTTCCTGTGCTGCTCCCAGCTTTGACAACCTACCTTCAGCTGTTTTGCTATCTTTCCTGAGCATCTGCTTTCTCTTTGCATGGAAAAATAGGAGGAAAAAGTCTGGAGAGATTGTCTTACTGCTTG